CTCTTTTCTTTTACTCCAGAAAGTAGGATCTGAACCAGGTATGATCATGCAGACTGGGGGATTCTGGGAATTGTAGCTCTGCTCATGTGTGAATGTATAACTGTTAGACCTTAATTACCATGACTATAGAATAAGCCCTCCCCTGACCCCAGTTAAATGAATGTTAGGTTACCACAAATTTTTGTATGGAACTGAACATTTAAAGTACATTTTAAAAAACACCCCAATAAGTTATCTGAATTCATCTTTCTTGTGGGAAGAAAGAGAAGCCACTGGTACAAATGTGAGGAAAGGCATACAGAGAATCAACAGGGGAAGAACGAATATACCTTTAAAATGAGCAGAGCACTATTATTATCACTATAACCAGCAACTACCCAAAAACACTAGTGAAGAGCTGCTTCCTTGTAAACAGAAGTACATATAAACAGTGGATGCTTTAACGCTGTGACTAATGTCTCCAGCTGCTTGTTAACGATCCAGAGAAAAGGTCAACAACATGGGGCTAAGTGCTCTTATTAGCCTGTGGGAATTTGATGTTCTCAAAGCTATCATCTTGTTTTAATACCATTTTCTTCTAGATGCCATTAAATAGATATTAGTAAAGAGGTTGGGGACATAGTGGAGACGGCGAAGGGCTCATGGCAGTTCTTCTCTTGTTTTGTGCTCCGTACTCCCACTCCCCTTTCTCCAAGACAGGATTTTAAAAGGCAGAGCCTATCCCTGACATTTTGCTGTCTGTGGAAAGTTTCAAATGGCAGCCCCTTCCGTTGTATGGCCAGAAGCAAACTGAACTGGCCGCTGAGTTGTTATGTGTCTTCAAGTGGTTTCTGACTTATGGAGAGCTTTTCCTAGGGGTTTCTTGACAAGATGAAGGATAATTGCATAAGTGTGTAAATGCAGCAACATTGGCAGTCATTGACAGGTATATATCTTTAATGTGAAGTTGCACTATAACAATAGGGCAATTGGTGAACAAGGGCCCAGCACCAATGTCATGTGGTAAGGGGAGGGACAAGGTGTTATAATTCCACTTTAATAGCATCTCTAGATGCTATTTAATAGCATCTCTCTCTCAGTCTTAAAGAAAGTCAATAGCAAATCACTTCTCAATAAGGAGCATATAGCCTGGCTTATTAAAGTGTCTTACCTCTCCTGACTTAAATTTTAATTTGGGTGGCATCCTGATACTATTGCAGTAATTTTGCCCCTGAATCTGCACCCAAATATAGCCCGGGTCCATCCCCACTCCCAGGAGTGCTCTGCTGGCCATTTTCTTAAGCCAGAAAAGTCCTGGTTTCGAAAAGAGGTGTGCTGAGCACTCCTTGGGACGTTATCACACGGGGCCTAAAGCAGAAAGAATCCTCACCCA